TAAAAAAAAAAAAAAAAAAAAAAAAAAAAAAAAGCATTGCTGCTCGGTTTCATGAAGTAAAAATCATTGACGCTCACGGAACATTCTAGTAATTAGGCCGCTTTGTCAGTGTAAGTGCTTAACTACAAATAGACATGGGACAAATAAAACACATTGCTGTACATTTCTGGTTATTTCCTAATATTTCTGCACATATAAGAATGTGGAGTTTTGCAAGTTGTTCGTAAATGTGTGCAAAATGAGCTGCAGATGCATTTTCAAGCACATTTTCAAAATTATTTATTTGTGCAGGAAGTAATTGTGTCAGATAGGTTTATCTATTCAGTCTGTGCAATTGAATTGAATTGACACATTGGTTTAGGAAAAATATTTTTTGAATGCATTTTAAAGCTCATAATTTATTTTGTACTAAAAAAAAAAAGAAGAAAAAAATACAAATGTAATTTATTCATTGAAATCACATTTATACATTTCAACAAATACACTGACAATCACCTGTGAGAAGGGTTGTCTCTGTCACCATAGCAACAGCAGGTCGGTACATGTAAACACTGGTTGCTATGGAGACAGCTGTTTAAATGAAATCAGTCGTCCGGTCAGTTACAAACACATCGGCAAAATGGAGAACGAGTCGCATAAAGTTGACCAAAGATTTGAGTTCTTAGAGAAGTGCGTGTCGAAAGCGTTTAATGTGAAGTCTGACCGCTGGCAGAAATGTGTCGCCACAGAGGAGCAGCGGCAGCTCATTCAGGACTTTCTGGATAAATCTGAACACAAGACTCTGGTTATATCGTTAAACTCCTCCGGACAGCTGATCCCTGCTCTCGGACTCTCGGGAACCGGGAAGAACAAGTCGGTTTATTTCGTTAAGCTGTGTAAAACCGCACTGTCCGCTGATAAAATGAAAACACAGTTGTTTTGTGGAGACGTGTGCCACTCTCCTCTGGAGCAGTTCTCAGTGCTGGTGGAGAAGGTGAGTCGATGGCCGAATCGCCAATGAGTCATTCTTTGGAACCGGTTCTTTTAAACGAATCATTTAGATTCGCAATAAAGTTTAGTGACGTGAGGCTACTTGCTAAAAACTGTTAAAGTATTAACTTAGAAGCATACTAGAGAGCATTAGTAGCTACCAAAATACAGTATCTGACACTAGTTTACAACAAACTGCAGCGCTATTAGGATATACAACGTGTATCTTGGGTTGAAATCGTCTCTCTCTCTTAATTAATTCGCTTTTAAGTGACATCTGTGTTATTAATTTATATTTTATTTACCGTGACACTATTTCAGCAGTCCTCTATTTGTGTTATTATCTATAGAGTCAAGAGTAGTGATGTCCGTTTCGTCAACGAATCATTCATTTGAGTCGGTTCTTTTGAAAGAATCGGTCAAACCAGTACACAAAGCTGTCTGAAAGAATCGGTTCACGTCTTAGTTCGCACCATTCCAGGAGAGTTTCTGAGTTCATTCACACTTAGAGAGGATGGATGAAGCGCTGTTTACATTCAATCGACTGAAACCAAATATGCAAAGATATTTTCCATGAATAGGGTCTTCGTTAAGTTCAATATATTTCACACAGGTAATGTTTTAATGCTCTGTTTTAAATTATTACTATTTTTTTTAATCGTATAACATTATGAAGTTATAAACAAATGCCCATGTCTCTTTTCCCATACATATAATGGATGTTGTCTAATGGAAGGAAGTGTACTTGATTGTAGTTTCAGTAGTGAGATATTATAACCCTGTTCGAAATTCTTTTCTCTTCCACAGCTCATCTAAAGATTTAGTTATTCACTGTCAGATTTGTTTTTTTTGCTAAAGATTTGTTTTGTTCAGGTATTTTGCACTGTCCTCATAGTTTTGTTATTGAAGCCACAGACACACTAAATGCAGAACTGTCAGCATGAGGAAATTCTGCTGGCTATGCCTGTAAATTTGACAATCTTTATATGACAAGACGTCGAACAGTGTGCACAAGCACGTTACAGCACACAAATTATCCTTATGTGATCATTAAGAGACATGTCATCTTTAGTTCAGAAACTCATTCTCATTCACCATTGTTCAGGGCTTACACAAACAGGACAGGCAGTCTGAGGCCAGCAAAACATCACAGCAGTTTCTAAGCAGTGACCATTGACCTGCCTGTCACTATAGCAGTACCAGGTCGATTCATGTAAACACTGGGTTAAACAATGAGTTAATGTAATCACATTATGGTGTAATTATATACTTGACACCACAAACATTGTATTAAAGGGTTGGTGAAGTGTATGATTTCAGGACTTTTTATTGTGTTCATGTGTTTCTCTGACAGAAAGTCATTTCGGATGAAAGTCTCCACAAGAATTACAGTTTAGTAAATTAGGGAATTGTCCAAATATCACAGCATTTTCTACTTTCATCTTTCCCGTGTGTTGAGGTTGTGGAACCGGTGTTGTCCAATGCGAGGAACCACCGGGACTTTCCTCATGTGGTTTCTCAGGACCTCATGCGACACATCCACGTGCTCAAAAACAACGTGTTTGTTATTGCTGGACAAGTCAAAGGCAAAACCCACCTTCCCGTGCCTCCAGGATTCGAGCAGTTTGAGCCAGTCGCTCATGAGGGAGATAAGAGGTGGGTTCATGGAGCCACTACATTTTAATAAACGTCTTTTTGTCTTAATCCGTGTGCTGTGCTGAATATTCTTTATAATTCCAATTTGGTTTTCCACTTTAAAAATGACCGGCCTTTTAAAAATTGCTTGTAAATCGTACTTTTACATTAAATGTTCCCTCCTGGTGGAATGCTCTGCCCAACTCAATCCTAGCAGCTGAGTCCTTAGCCATCTTCAAGAATCGGCTAAAAACACATATCTTCCATCTTTATTTGACCCTCTAACTCTAACACTCTCTATTCTAATTCTATTCTTTAAAAAAAAGACTTGCCCCTTTTAGACTTGCACTTTATTAATTTACTAACTGCTTATTTTCTTTTTTCTTTTTTTTAAACTAACACTAGCTTCTCTATTCTTTTTGTATTCTATTTGTTTTCTTTTTATAATTAACAAAAAGCCTCTAACATTAGCTTGCTCTATTCTTTTTCTATTCTATGTTTTCTTTTTATTTAATATGTAATTAAAAAAAACCTTGCTATGTGTACTGCATTAGGCTAACTGAGACTTGTTGTAGCACTTGCATATTGCTCTTTTGTTGATTTTGATTGCTTCCATTGTCCTCATTTGTAAGTTGCTTTGGAAAAAAGTGTCTGCTAAATGATTAAATGTAAATGTAAATCTCTCATTATGCTATAATATTACCAAATCTTGGATTCAATCTTTTTGTTAACTCAGTTAGCACAGGTTTTGTTACTTTCTAGAACTGATTGATCATGGGTCTTATTGATCTGAGCTTGTGCACATCAGTTTTTGAGCCAAAATTACATGCTAATATATATTATATTAGTTGGTTCTAAAAAGAAACACAAAACCTGTGCTAATTGAAATACAGCAAGCTGACAAAAATAACCTAATATTTGGTGATAATATAGCGTGGCAAGAGATTTATAAGCAATTTCATCATTTTTGACCAGAACTCCACAAGTGTAAATACCCCAAATAAAAAAAATCCCCAAAACGTACCAAAATTATCTTTGATTTGGGAAGCTGTGTGTGAGCAAAGTGCAAAATGCAAAAACATTAACTAGCGTTTTCAGGATCAAAATTACCAGAACACCACATGAGGGTTAGTTATTTTATTGGCATTGAGCATTAATTTGATGTTTGCAGTGGGCATCTTGTGGATAAACGACTCATTCATTCGATGGAGACTGTTGTGATCGATTGGAGTCATCAGGTCTATAAGGTCCTGAAGAAGGACTCATCAGAGCCATTACTTGAGGGCAAAAACCCCACTCCACATGCAGAGATTAAGTTCTGGAAAAACAGGTTAGTCCTGGGAATTCAGTCACTCAGATGTTGCCTGGAAAGCTCCTGCAGTCTTGTTTGTCCACGTTATGTTATGTTGTAGGCTTGCTGATCTTCAGGGAATTCATAACCAGTTCCAGTCCCCTCGAGTTCTGATGCTGGCTGAGCTCCTGGCTGCCGTCGACAGCAGTTATTATCCTGCCTTTGCAAAAATGCTCCGGGACGTTTCAGAAGGTATAACATCAGCTTCTGCCATCAAATATGCAATGCATTAATTGTGTGAAAGCTTTGAATCTTAATTGGATTTGTGATGTGTTTATTAAGCTCGAAGTGAGACGAGGGATATCAATACCTTCCTCAAGCCAATAGAGAAACTTGTAGAAGATGTGGAGAACGCAGACTTCAGCGAGGTGAAGGGGAAGATCGCTCCTCTCATGCATACAGTGTGTCTCATATGGGCAAACTCCAAATACTACAACAGCCCAGCCCGAATCATAGTGCTTCTACAGGAGATCTGCAACCTCCTCATCCAGCAGGTAAAGGGTCGGACACACTACATTCTATATTCCACTGACTTCCATTCATAGTTGTCAGTCAAACATCTATAGAACTGCAGCGCAAGCCTGTCAATTTTCCACCCATCTAACATCTAAAACAGGGATGGGCAACTTTGATAGTGACTAGGGCCAGCATTTTTTCTCCTTTATACCAAGGGGCCAGATTACTAATCCACGTCCACAAACCTTTTACACAGTCTTAAAGGGATAGTTCACCCAAAAATTAAAATTTGATGTTTATCTGCTTACCCCCAGGGCTTCCAAGATGTAGGTGACTTTGTTTCTTCAGTAGAAACCGTTGCAGTGTGTCAGTCTTATAATGGAAGTGAATGGGAATCACGGCTTTGAGAGTAAAAAAAAACATACACAAACAAAACCAAATTAAACTTTGCGGCTCGCGACGATACACTGATGTGTAAAGACACGAAACGATCGGTCTGTGCAAGAAACTGAACAGTATTTATATAGTTTGTTTTACCACTGATGCACTGCAATGTCTGAACTGTCCTGAGCTCATCCTCGACAGCCGGAGCGTGACGCGTCTTCTTCCTCTTCTTGCTTTATGGCGGATTGCAGACTTATAAGTGCATTACTGCCACCTATCTCTCAAATGGACCATTGACGCTCGTAATTGAGATTGTAGATGGATGGTCAATGGTCCATTTGAGAGATAGGTGTATATAGACGTATAAATACTTCTTATAAGTCTGTGATCCGCCGTAAAGCAAGAAGAAGAAGAAGACGCGTCGCGCACCGGCTGTCGAGGACGCGCTCAGGATGCGCTCAGGACAGTTCAGACAGTTCAAACATTGCAGTGCATCAGAGGTAAAAAAAATTATATACATACTGTTCAGTTTCTTGCACAGACCGATCGTTTCGTGTCTTTACACATCAACATATCGTCATGAGCCACAGGGTTTAATTTGGTTTTGTTTGTGTATTGTGTTTTTTTACTCTCAAAGCCGTGATTCCCATTCACTTCCATTATAAGACTGACAGACTGCAACGGTTTGAGTTAAAAATCTTCGTTTGTGTTCTACTGAAGAAACAAAGCCACCTACATCTTAAATGCCCTGGGGGTAAGCAGATAAACATAAAATTTTCATTTTTGGGTGAACTATCCCTTTAAGGCCCGTTCACACCAAGAGCGATAACTATAAAGATAACGATATTAGCATCCACACCAGCGAACGATATCATCAAGTGCATGCGCGTCTGTCGCTTTAAATTCTCGAGCTCATTACAGCAGGATTGATTCTGATTGGCTGTCAATGTTTTTATCGTTCATCAGCTGGAAAGAAATCGTTCTGAAAGTGATTCCAACGATATCGTTTCTCTGTGCCTTTGTTGTTATAGTTGTGGTGTGGACTCTGCTATTCTTTAATATTGAGAACGATTTTTAGAACTATATCTTTATCGTTATCTTTAAAGTTATCGTCCTTGGTGTGAACGGGCCTTTACTCAATTTCCTTTTTATTGAAGAAAATGAAAGTATAATTAATGTAATTTGTTTTTAAAGATTTAATTAACTATAAAACTTGTGCAGTTATGCTAATTCAGAAGGGAAACTTTGTTGTCAGTTGAACAAGCCAAATGTAAACATCTCAATTGCATTGTCTGCAAATTTGCAACAAACAAATGTACAGAGGTCCTATTTTTTATTAGTGGCCTACA